TTGTTTTCAATGACAATAATTTTCCTTGTTTGTCCTTGCCTATTCCCAATGTTGAAAATGTGGCTCCAAATGAGGTGGAGCAATTGCCTGTTATCATTCCTACTAATGTGCATGTAGAAACTAATGAACATGTTGATATGAACCATGATTCACACACTAATGAAGATGAGACTATTTCTAAAGAGGTGGAGCATGATAGTGTAAAATCACATATTGAAAATGATTTGCATTACTATCAACTTGCTAGGGATAGAAATAGAAGAACCATTAGCAAACATGCGAGATATGTTGATGACTGTAATATGTCTGAGTTTGCTTTTCATGTGTTTGAATCCCTTGAGTGTGATGAACCTAAGACTTATCGTGAAGCACTAGAATCTAAATGTTTTGAAAAATGGGTTAGTGCTATGAAATGTGAGATGGAATCCCTTTGTGTTAACTAAACGTGGAAACTTATGCCAAAACCTGAAAACTGTTATCTTGTGGACTATAAGTGGTTGTTTAAAGTTAAGCAAGAACCTGAAAATGTCAGGTTTAAGGCTAGACTTGTGGCTAAGGGATTTACTCAAAAGGAGGGAATAGATTATGTATACATTTTTTCTCCTATTGTTAAGTTCACCATAATTAGAATCATGTTGTCTTTAGTTGCTCAGTATAATTGGGAATTAAAACAAATGGATGTTACTACTGCTTTCTTACATGGTGATCTTGAAAAAAGCTTTGTATGGTTTAAAACAATCACCTAGGCAATGGAACATTAAATTTGATAATTGCATGAAAAACTTTGGTTTTAAGAGAAGTAATGCTGATCACTGCTTGTACTTCAAGAACACTTTCTCTGTTCCTGTTTTTCTTCTCCTTTATGTGGATGATATGCTAATCATTAGTCCTAGCTTAAAGTCTATTGAGCATGTTCAAAATTATTTTTGCAAAAATTTTGACATGAAAGATTTAGGACATGCTAGAAAAATACTTGGCATGAATATTGTTAGGGACAGAAAAAAATCTACTCTTGTTTTAAATCAAAATTCCTACATTGATAAGATTTTGAGTAAATTTGCTATGTCTGATGCTAAACCTGTGGATGTTCCTTTAACTGCTCACTTTGTGTTGAATAAGGATATGTGCCCTAAAACTAAAGCTGAAATTAATGAAATGAAAAGTGTGCCTTATTCGAATGCTATTGGTTCTGTGATGTATCTTATGATTAGCACTAGGCTTGATATTGCATATGTTGTTAGTTGTTTGAGTAGATACATGTCTAATCTTGGTATGGCTAATTGGAATGCTCTAAAATGGCTTTTAAGATACTTGAAATCTACTAGGAATGTTGGTTTAACTTTTTCAAGAAGTGATAAAAGTGTTAGATTAATTGGGTATGTGGATTCTAACTATGCAAACGATAGGGATAATAGAAAATCCACTACTTCCTACGTATTCACTTTGTGTGGTTCTTTCATTAGTTAGAAGTCTCAACTTCAACACATTCTTGCTTTATGTACTACTAAGGCTGAGTATGTTGCAGCCACAAATGCTTTTAAAGAAGCCATTTGGCTTAAAGGTCTTTTATCTAAAATATGCTTGCTTGATAAGAATGTGGTTGTTTTTCTGATAGTCAATCTGCCATTCAACTATGTAAAAATCCTGTTTTTCATGATAGAACAAAACATATTGATGTTAGATTTCATTTTATCAGAGACATAGTTGAAAAGGGCATTGTCATGCTGGAGAAAATTCTTATGGAGTCTAATCCAGCTGACATGGGTACTAAGTGTTTACCTGTTGAAAAATTTACCTTATGTCAAAAGATTTTAAACTTATCTCTGTGATTGTGTATTGATCTTTTGTTCTTTTTTGTCTTTGTGACTTTTGTCTTTCTCTTTTTTGAACTCGATGACCCAATGGTAGAGTTCGACTCTTCGTGATTTATTTTTGGCATGCTTTGTGATGTTGCCTAGTCTTCGTGACTTGAGAGTACTTAGTGAACTCTCCACCACTACGTGTGTTCTCATTTGTTGATTACACATTTAGTGGTTATTAGGTTATGATGAGTCTAGCGGTTCCTTGTCAACTATGTGCACTACTTTAGGCCAAAGGTGGAGATTGTTAATTTATTTGGGTTGGCCCAAACATATTAATAATATTTGACACCCAACCTAGCAGCCCATCTACTCAAGCCCATCTCATATTTCTAACCTAATTAAGCTTGCCTTAATTAGCTCCTAAATCTCTACTACATATTAAAGTGTCTTCTTTGAGTTTTCAACCATGTAAAAATCCTTCCTTCTCTTTGTGAGTCTTCCTTGTGGGTTTTTTCTCTTCCTCTGTGTGGTCTTTCTGCTCTTCTCCGTTTCTTTGTGAGTGGAGTGTGGCGAGGTTGGGTTGGGGTGTTGCTCCTTTTGGTACCCTTGTAGAACTACGGACCGATTTTTATGGGTGACCTGAGCCTAATCGGAATAAATAAATACATATAACATTTTATAAATCTTATAGTCTTTACTTTTGACGTATGTGGTAACATTTTTTCATATTTTCTTATTGTTTTTGCTTTTTGAAATCATTCTTAATAAATATATCAAATTTTCATTACTTTTCAAGTCAAAGTGGGTTGCCTCCTCCTTATATATGTTATATTTTTATATCTAATTTTGATTAATGAAAAAACAAGAAAACTCAAACTCGTTCCATTTTATCCCGACCCCAAGTATTAAGGGACAAAAAGGGATAAGCTTGTGGCCCGAATTATTTCGAACTGTTCGAAAAGAACGGGACAAAACGCGGGACGATATAAAAATCGAACCATCTCGATCCGTGCCCACCCCTAGCTTTGATATGCAAATAATAACCCCGTTGTCATTCATAGACTAAATCATTTTNCCATGAATAGATTTTTACACCAAAGGTGTGCATACCATGTTTTAGGTTTGTGTGTTCAGCTGAGGTTACAAGCTATGCAGAGAGTTTTGACTAACATTAAAGCAGGTTTGAAATTAATTTTGGTAGTCGGTTAAACTAAAATACGTGGAAGGCTTTCCAAAAATCTAGGGGTACGGTAGAAAGTGAATAAGATTTTCCAAGGTTATTACAATCCAATGGGACAATACATATATAAGTACAGATTCTAAGTTATAAAGATGAATTTGCTTCCTTTCTTAAGTTTGAACTTTCGCATGTGATTGATATGAATTTGTTATTGTTGATAATACGATAGAAGTTTTTAATAATGCAGTTATATCTTTCTCACGTGTTTACAAGTCTACGAGTAAATTTTTTAGTGTATTACAATTGATACATGTTTTTGTGAAGTTCTGTCTAATCTTGTCTTGTATCATTATGTGTCCCCTATGAGGGAAAACTGGTGTGCTTATTACCCTTACATTACCGATATTTACCAAATTATGATTATTTGTGATCCCTGATTCAAAACTGGAAATTTAAAGATCTAATTGAGTACTACTATTCATGTTTTTATGAGAATAATGATTATTATTATCAGCATCATATTGACCAGAAGAAAGAGAGGGATGATGATGTGACCCTCATTTAGGATTTATTTAAATATTTTTAAAATTTGTACGATAACCGTCTAGAAGAACCCAAGACACAAGCTCCTACCGCACGGCCGAAGGTAAAAAAGGTTTTAAAGGCGTCCTTAGTGGCTTCTTGACAAAGAAAAGTAAGAATAATGGCTCTACGTCTATAACTCCAAGTGGTACAACAATAAGTTCACTCAACGAACTTGCAATGTACCAAGACATGCCATGTGACTACGACAAAGAGAATGAGAATGAGTTCGACGTCTTCGACGAGTGGAAGAAAATTGAGCACATATTCCCGTCACTCAAAATCCTAGCTAGGCAGGTCATATTTATGTTGTTGTCAACGGTAGCCGTAGAAAAGGAGTTTAATTAGTTCTAGCGGCAGTATTTTATTTTGACCAACTTCGAGAGTAGTTTCAGCGTTGAATCATCGAAGACACTAGTTTGCAACTGAGATTGGATTTGGCGAAACGTTTATACCAAGAGGTAGGGTACGTCATCGATTCATAAAACTACATGGATGCAACAATGGAGGGAAATGGTAATTTGAACGAGTAACTTACTTAACTATTATTCTGTAAATGAGATTTTTTAGGTGAGCAATTTATAAATCGTTCAAGGGTTTCTTTACGGTTCTCTACCTCGTCACTTTTTTTAACCGTTAGGGTAATAAATGGAGTTGAGCCCAACTTTCATTATTTTAATAATAACTACATTAGATAGTTTTTAACATTTAGCAAATTTAAATTACAAAACAAAAAAATAAAATTGGAAACCAAACCGGAACCGTTGGTTGCGAAACCAGCAACGACACTGTCAGATTCCCGGCACGGGGGCAGGGGAGATGCCTGGCAGTACCAAAACCACCAGTTCTAGAACCGGATCCGGACCGTGTCCAGGGCTAGTATAGCACAACCATTGGTGGATCTACTTGTAAGTTAAGGGGGACAAATGCCCCTAGTGAAACTTGGTTTGCAAAGTACTCCCTCCGTCCAACAATATTGTTTCCGTTGTGCATTACGATATTTGACTGAAATTATTTTCAAATCATTTTATATGAAAAATCTTATGAAATTAAAAAATAAAAATTACATATTTAAAAACTACACGAAAAGTTCTACAAAACTAGATGTGGCATTATTATATTATTTTATCAAATAGGTAACAAAAATACGCCAACAAAATGAATAAAGTTTAACTCTATGAACAGCAAACGAGAACATTATTGCTAGACAAAGGGAGTAATATTTTTACAAAAATGCCCCCAACTCCTCACAACCCCACTATGATAATATGTCCAGCACTTGCAAGTCTTTGCCCAGTCAACCCCAACTACTTTGTTTTAGTTTTGTTACATATTTTTTTATTTCTTTTTAATTTATGTTTATTACTCCCTCCGATCGGAAAAGATCATTTCCTTTTGGCTTCACGATATTTAATAAAAGTATTAAAAAAAGTGAGTAGTTAAAATCTTATTTAATGAAAGAAAAAATTATGGAACACATGTTTTTTATTTTATTATATGGACTAAAAGTAAAGAATTGAGACAATTATCCTGCACTCAAAAATTTTCTCCACCCCCCTCTAAGTACAAGTGTACAACAGATCCAAAGTATCTTGGAACCACTGCTGAGTGCTAAGTACAACTCATCACATAAATCCTATTCTAAAAGTAGTAAATGAAAGGTAAAAGAATAAGATTGTTTGGCATCCTTCCTTCACACTTACTTTATAGTTGACAGAGCTTGAAGGAGTTCAAACCAACATGTTTGAACAAGAATGTATGAAGCTGGAAATCTTCTCCCACATCTCCATAGGACCAAACCCCCACAACCCTCTTAGTCTCAAAGCTGTACCCTACAATTTTCTTGCACACAACCACATGAATGTACAGAATCTGCAAATCTTCATTGAACCCAGAGGACCTTATGGAATTCCCCACAGTCACTCTCACCCCGGTCTCCCTCCTCGTCTCCGAAATCAAATCGTCCAGAACCACAAACCGGCACAATGTCCATAACGATTCGTGGGTGTCGTTGCTGAACTCCCAGATTCGAAACCCGTGTTCATCCGGGTCACAAAGATTCAGTTTGCCCTCCGATTCCCATAGCGAGCGGTGGCGGGGATTGTTGTATGAATATGATGCTCCATTGGGGTTTCTTGGGAGTGGCAAAACTGTGAATTCATCGCCGTCTTCATCGAAGATTAAGAGACAGAAGCACCATATCAGATGTAATCTCGAGTTCATATAGATTGCAGGGCCGAAGCATTGTCCAAACACGAAGCCCTGTTCGGAAATCAGACCCGAATTCAAGAGCTTCCCCTGTTTCTCCCTCCACTCCCAAGACTCCGACTTGAAAACCATGGAGTTTACAGAATTGGAGAGGGGATTCACCTCGTTCCAGAAAAAGCCCACGACTTTGAATTGGGCGTTCTTCCTCGGGTCGAAGGCCAGTGCGACGAATGCGGGCCTGAACACGGAGTTCGACGGAGGGAGGGCTATGGATTGGTCGGAAACCTGGGAATGTACGATGTAATTCCAAGTCTGTTTGTCGTCCTCCAAGCCGTAGAGGATTAACCCGTTGCAGGAATCGATCAAGAAGGGGAATTTGTTCGGGGCGGAGGAGTCGACGGTGCAGAGCTCGGTGTTGTGGGGGTAGTGGAGTTTCAAGAAGACGGATTTTTTAGAGATTCCGGCGGCTCTGGAGGACCAGAGGTGGAGAACGAGACCGGAGTCGGTGACGGGCGGGTGGTGGAGCCGGACTCTGGCAATCAATTGCCGCCATGATTTGGAAACGGTCTCCAGCTTCGCTAGGGATTTCAGGGGGACGAAAGAGAAGATGATTTCGGCGATTTCGTCGCATAGATCTCCGAAATCTGTCGCCGGCGGGATGACGGCCATGGCTACCGCCTGCTTCTTTGTCCCTTCCCCTGTTTCTTGATTTTTTGGGGTTTTTATTTTGAGTTGTTGGAGAGAATTCTTTTTTATTTTTGGGGTTGAGAAAGATCAAAGAATACCCTGTTTTTATTTTGGGGTTATATCGATAAGTTTTCTTATTGTCCATCTTAAAATGCATATGCCATATATAGACATTTTTGCAGAGGATTATTTATCTAAATAAGACTAAAACATAATGATTTTCTCAATATAGTATTATATGTTTTTATTTCTCAATGTAAGAATTTTGATCATTATCAATTAGCCATTATTCAACTAAATATCCAGTATCACTTGGACATTATTTTTTTCACTGGTCATTATTAAGTCTTATTTAGTGAATAAAAAAGTTTAAGTTCTATATTGAAAAATGACTTATGTTTTAGTCTTATTCAGTGCAGATTTCACTTTTACATATTCTTATGAGTTTATACTTGGTTTTCTTTTTTAGAAGCTTCAATATATACTATTAATTTATACGGAGTACATGGTATTCAAACTACTCTTTCTGTCTAAAAATTATTTTTCTATTGTTAGTTATGATGTTTGATTGAAATTATTTTCAAATAAATTTATATAAAAAATAGTGCGTAATTTAAAAATAAAAACTACAGTACATATTAAAAAACAACATCAAAAGATTTACAAAATTAGAGTTAACATCATTATATTATTTTATTAAAGGGATACTGAAAGTAGGTCAATACAATGAATAAAGTTTGACTCAGATAAGTGAATATTAAACGTGAAAATAACTTTGGATGGAGAAAGTATGAAATTGGAATTGATAAGAATAATTTCAATTTTGCTGTTCCATAGTACAAAAATATATTGATTTGAAATTAGTAGTGCCAATACTGAATTAGAATTGGATAATTCAATTTTATCAAATTAACTTTATATAATTTTAATTCCTAATTTAATTCCAATTTTTTCAATTTTGTGTACCAAACGAACTATAAAATTGAAATTGGGGACTGTAGTTTCAATTTTGGTGTTTGGTAGCTAAAAAAAATGTATGTTGATTTCGGGTTGGATAAAGCTATTTGTACCCAAGGATTTGTACCCTGTTTTGTACGCCGCAGGGATGCTCCAACATTTTATGTTGGTGTAATGCTAATTTTTGTTAACGCACCAACACTTTGTGTCAGTGTAAATTTTATTAACGCACCAACACTTTGTGTTAGTGTGAACTATACAAATGTTGATGCATACCTTTGGTGTACAAATAGAGTACAAATTTTGGGGTAGACGGAGAATGCTCCTCTTGGGTTTGTTTGTACTTTGTAGTGCAAAATGATTTGGAATCAATTCACATCCAATTACTGTACTTGGTGAGTTCCTGCTCTGACCGTGCTCATCAAGGTTCTCAAATACGTGCATCCCAAGACTTCTCTTTTCCGGATTTTTTCAACAAATGTACTCCTGTCTCCCTCTCACACTCTTTGGTTTCTTTTATTTTGAGTCGTTAGAGAGAATAAATTTTTATTTTGGGGGGTTTAGAAAGAATACTCCAAAGATTTTGAAAAAAAGCATTAAAGTAAAACTAAAATATTGAAATAAAAAATTTTTTCTAAAATAAAAGTTAAAATATACTCCCTCCGTCCCATAAAGATGGAAATAGTTTAACTAAAGTGGTAAAATAAGGAGGAATAATTTTGTGTTGACTTTCCAAAAATGCTCTTGATGTGATGGGTAAAAGTAGGATGTGATGGGTAGATTACTAGAAAAAAGGTATGATGTGATAGGTAGGGTATGAAAAAGTAAGAGGTAAAAGTGGTTTTCGAAATACTGATACAATCTTAAAAGACATTCTTCTCTTAATAATAACTCTCTAATCCGAATTACAGAATATAGTAATAACAATTCAGTCCTTTCAACAACAAAAACACACCTTTAACAAAGTTAATGTGAATTGGAAGCCAAAGCCTAAATCTGTACACTTCAACAACAAACCCAGTGCACTTTTCAAGTCACAAAGAATGGCACTATAATAGCAACTTAATCGCCGTCATCGATCTTCCTCCCTCTTTTGTACATACCATACCGAACTCCTCCCTCCATTCCTAAACAACTGTCTTTGATGAATTTTTCGATACATTAAGAATCAAATGAATGTAGACATAATGTTTGTCCACATTCAAAGCATGTGCAGACCTTACCTCTGTCATCCTCTTCTGAACACCAAGAGAACTGTATATACTGTCTGCACATCACAGAACTTACCTCTCTGCATTTGAACAATGGTGAAGAGGAATAGAATACAACAACAAAACAGATGCTGTGATAACATCTTTCAGGGCCGCCAAGAGGTTTTTCGTGCACAAAGGATACCCTCCTTATTTTGAGCAAAAGTCATTCGAATCTCCCAATTCAAGCTCCTCAATATTGGGAGTTCACTTAGCTCATAGAGATGAAACAGCGCATGTTACCGGGTTGGCGGTCCGGAATTATATGCCAGGTAGAGTCGATGTTATTGATGTCCAACAAATGTAGACGTGCGCTTTCTGTGTAAAATTATTATAATTTTTTCCTCGCTTGTTCTGAAGCACATCCTACCATTGTGTTACAAAAAAATACAAAGCTTCAGTTGTTTTAGAAAAAAAGTTGTTTTACAGATTTGTTGCGAAATTAACGTTGTTGTAGAAAACTACTCCCTCCATCCCGGAAATATGTTCTTGATACAGTTCACTATGTTTCACAGAAAGTACTTTCACTTGAATTTATTTGAAAAGTGGTATAAATTTTAATTATATATTTAAAAACTACATCAAAAGTAATACAAAATAAGATTTGACATGACTATTATTTTGTCAAATGAGATATGAAAATATGTACGGAAAGATATAATTTGACCTGTGTGGATATTGAACCAGTGAATAGTAATGTGGAGCCTTTTGGGGGTTGGGGAGAGGGGACGGGACGGAGGAGTAATTAAATTTGCCTTTATACATGAGAACATCAATGGATGCTAATTGATAAACGGACATTTTAGACATTTCATCTAACCTGTTCTTGAGCCTTGAAAACAGATGATCAGCGTGAAGAAGGTCATATGATCTAGGGTAGGTTCCAAAGGACTCGCACCAGTCATGGTAAATGCCAAGAAGACCACGTTCAAATATTATTGGAAGGGTATCTCGGGCATGTAGGGGCGGGACCACATTCATTACCCAAACGTCCTTCCTCCGCCCAAGAGCAGCTGCAAATCTGCACAAATCCCAAGTTATTCAGTCAGTAATTGCTCAACGGAAGAACAGACAAAAAAAATATTTGTTGGAATAAAGTTACCCTCCATTGACTGCTTTCATATCCATTACATTCCTTATGTTAGACCAGTCAATTCCAAAGCCAACAAGGTAAGATTTGTCTATTATATCTTTCCAGTGATTATCGTCTGCAATCATCTTTTCTCTATCGTTACTCATCCAGTCTGGAAATGTTTCAATCCTCTTTGGCCATTCCTCAGGCCACTCTGTCCCTCGTTCTTCAATTGCCGATGGAATCTCATGCAAGCAAATTCTAATGGGAGTGTTCCTGGAATTAATAAAAGAATCACGATGAAAAAGTGTGTATAGATTATAGGCTGGGAAATGTTTTGGAACCCCTCCCGTTCATCTTACCAGGCAGCATCTGGATTGTCTTTGGCATTGCATAAAGGGGGGACCTTTTTCCTTCTCAGTTTATATATACCATTCGATTCAGGCTTTTGATATATTTTAATTCCTATATCACTGACATCATCAGTTTTGTCAGCCAGGATGTTCCAACAGATAGATGCTGTAAGGGTGGACATAGCTGGAAAACAAGAAGAAAAGTACAGAGGAATAAGATCATTGAATAATCCAACTATGAGGAAATCATAGAGGTGAATGTCAAGGGATTTAGCAAACTGACAAGTTTAAGTTGCACTAAAAAATAGATTATAAAGTATACTCATAAATCCATGAAGGACTAAGATCTAGACATGCCATGGGCCTGTTTGGTAATGTTATTTGGCTAAAATGACACATTTACAGAAGAATTTTCTGAAATAATGTCCAGTAACATTTATTTCGGCCAAATAAGTCAAAAGCTATTTGTTCTGCTTTTAAGAAGGATGATACGATTATGGCAACCAAACGGAGAGCATGTGTAAATTGCAAATCCACCAACCACTTGTTTATGTACTTAGGCATACTCTCATAAAGGGTTAAGGGACAAAATAAAAAAAATACAGAAAACGGATAAAGGTCAAACCTTCTTCAGCCTCGACACTATTGTGCTTAGTTGATAAAATAAAATACCCTCCCGGTCTCAAGATTCTGTTCACCTCAAGAAGTAGTTTGCCTCCTGAATGGGACGGAAAGAATGGTTAAAGAAAGTTCTGGCTTTAATCTTAACAAAAAGACAATGTGGGCAAGCAAAAGGGGACCAAGAGCAATTACAATACCATTAGAATGCCACGACATGTGGCATTCACCGCAATGAATTGTGTCAAAAACGCCACTAGGGAAAGGAAGTCTGCGGGTTTCAAATGGGCTAACTAGTGCAGGGAAACCACATTCAAGGGCAACTTGTGCGAGGTCAAAAAGGTCATCTTTCAATCCCAAAGTAAGCACTAATACATCCTTCTCAATTAGAGAAGCAACAAAACTTGAATCTTTGAATCCAATATCCAGCACTACACGGATGTTCTTTCCCCATTCAATGTCCGGTACCATCTATTGATAGTTAAAAGAACAAACAGTCACATTAGGGCAAAATCCTTACGTCTTTATTTTATCATCCCCATATGTACATGGTTTTTTAAGATTTTGTCAGATTGTTTAAAATCCACCGATTATGTCAATTCATTATTTTTTTAAATTCTACAAAAATTAGAATTGTTTTATAAATTGTTCTAAAACCATTAATTATTTATCAAATAAAAAAATCAAAATAAAAAATAAAAAGGATTATATAATAAGATTAAAAAAACTATACCTTGAAAACTGAAGAAAAGTGGAAGAACAAAATACCGGTGGAATTGTGGAAACAAGAAGCCAAAAATATTGGATAAAGTGAAAAAATACTCTGTACAATTATTATAATTTCATTTGCACAAATAAAATACTCCATACCATACAATAATTTGATTTCTCGAATTAAAATACAGTAGGTTCAAAGCACGAAAAAACACGGTGAAATACATCAGACTCAAAAAAACACCAGATTCAAAAAATACTACAAATCCTTTGTAATAGAGAAGATCCTGTTGTAAACACAAGACAATAATCAAATCAATCGTCTTCTCAAATCTCACTCTTTCTTCTCTCAAAATATCTTCCCCTTCTCCCCAAAATGTCTCTCATCTCTGTTATCTTCCATTGGAGAATTCTTACAGCTTTTTCAAGCTGTAACAGTTTTATCAAAGCTTCGAGCCTTCGACAACTGGATAGCAGTGGAGGCTCAATTGGAGGCTATTGAAGGGAGATTCGTTGGCGTTGATGAGAGAATCAATGCTCGGGAGTGAAAAATGGATGCAAGAATGGAAGCTAAAATAGGCAAAGAGGAGTACCACACCACTACCAGTTGAGGTGATGGAGGACATTTACACTCACGAGCACTCAGTTTCAACCCAAAATTGGAGTTCCCTAAATATGATGGCAGCAACACATGAATGTTGGATTAAGAAAGCCTGTAAGTACTTCGCTCTTCATAAAATTTCTGATGAACAATGGGTAGACATTGGTAGCTTACATATGGTGGAGAAGGCTGAGAATTGGGTTACTAGCTACAAGTCTTTTAGGAAGTATGTTGCTTGGCAAAAATTCATCATTGATCTGTGAGTGCTAGATTTAGAGATGAAACTGGACATAATGTTGTAGAACAGTTCAAAGGCTAGAACAGAAAGGATCACTTGAAGTTTACATTGATGAATTTGAGGATCTAAGGTCTGTGTTGAATCAGAATAGCCATTACCTTCCTGATTCTTTCATTCTGGATTCTTTTATTGGTGGATTGAAGCCTTCTGTTAAACTGTGTGTCAAGGCATTTAAGCCTAGTGGCATAGCCCAAGCAATTGAATATACTAGGTTAAAGGAGAGTCATTGAAAGTGGAGAGTCAAGGTTTTCCAAATTCAATCACTCCTATAACCACAAACCTTTTGGGGGAGGAGTCAAGGCCCTCACAAACAACTCATCAAAACCTGCTCAGTTGCGTACTCTTCAAGTTAAATCTGCCAGCTTCCAAAAATGTACCCCTACCACCCACTCTTGCCCTAAGAAAAACTTTAAACATATATCTGCTTATGTGAGGGCTGAAAAGATAGCCAAGGGGTTGTGATACTACTGTAACAAATTCTTTGAGAGGGGGCACAAGTGCAGTTTTAAAGAACAACAGTTGTTCACAGTTGAAGTTCCTGCTGAAGGAACTTATCACAATGAGCATGAGGAATGCATAACTGACTATGCGGAAAATCATTATGATGCAAGTGAGAGGAGAGGGAGTTCTGATGCTTGCATTTCTGTACAAGCTCTAACTGGAGGGCACAGATACCAGACAATGAGGATAATGGGGATGGTTGGCAAGAGGCCCATCCACATACTGGTTGACTCAGGAAGTATTCATAATTTCCTGAATTTTGACACTGCAATAAGTTTGGGATGTCAGCTGGAGAAAGTACATACCCAGGCAATGACAGTGGCAGATGGAAACAGAACCTCTTGTCAATATGCTTGTGATAAATTTACATGGCAGAGGTAAAAAGAGAATTTACCAAAGATGTCTTATTGATTCCACTACGCAGTTGTGACATGGTTTTAGGAATCCAATAACTGGAAACATTGGGACCAGTCTGTTAGGATTTCAAGGAAATGACCATGAAATTTGATTTGAAGGGTGGCTCATTCTTGTTGAAGGATATGGTGAACAAGAGATTGAAAGTGGTAGAAGAGACTCCAGCTCCAAAGGTGTTTAATAATTCTATTCAGTTTTGCCTACGCAAGTATTCACATGGGGAAGAGGAAGACGTCCCTAGCATGATACAATGTGGTGAAACTACAGGGCAGGTTGGTCTAGATATGGAATTGGAAGAATTGAAGAGGGACTTCAGAATGGTCTTTGAAGATCCCACAGAATTGCCACCCCACAGATGAGTCTTTGATCACAGGGTCTCTTTGGAACTAGGGGCAAGACCTGTCAATATCAGACCTTACAGGTACCCTTTCAAACAAAGAGAAACCATTGAACAACTCGTGCAAGAGATGTTGCACAGAGGAATTATTCAGCATAGTACTAGTCCTTTTGCTTACAAGTATCCTTTAAACAAAAAGATACCATTGAACAGCTGGTGCAAAAGATGTTGGACAGAGGAATTATTCAGCAAAGTGCTAGCCCTTTTGCTTCCCCGGTGGTACTAGTGGGAAAGAAGGATGGTACATGAAGATTTCCTATTCCAACACACACACACACACAGGGTACTTTGAGTTCTTAGTAATTCCCTTAAACCCTTGCTCAGGAAATCAGATGTAGTCTTCTTTAATGACATACTTGCCTATAGTAAAACCAAGAAAGAACACTGGGATCATCTAAGACAAGTCTTTGGACGGATGAAACCGAACTAGATGTATGCTAAACTCGGCAAATGTATATTTGCAAGTGACAAGGTGGAGTACCTAGAGCATTTAATTTCTGCAAATATCTTCCCCTTCTCAAATCTCACTCTTTCTTCTCTCAAAATATCTTCCCCTTCTCCCCAAAATACCTCTCATTTCTCATATCTTCAAATGGAGAATTCTTACAGCTTTTTCAAGCTGTAACATAAATGTTTTTGTGTGAGTGTGTGTGTGTGTCATCAATCCAAAACTTACTTCCTGAATGGACATAAGGTAGTGCTGAACTCTGTCTTCCAAAGCAGAACGGTTCTGGGGGAAAATGAGATATTCCCCAGACTCCATAACCCAACTCTGTGTCTTAACCAAATCGGCTAATTTCTCGTGCACTACATTCTTGTATATTATCTACAAAGGAAAGGAACAAAATAAAACAATGTGAATATATAAAGCCCAATATAGTTTTTTTTTTTAAAACAAAGCTATATTACAGTTTTTTTTGTTTTTTAAAAAAAAATGTATACCTTGGACATGCTTTCAGGCCAGCCTATAGGAGTCTTGTAACCATCTGGGGGGAGTGGAACAAGGCACATTTGATGTGCTGCTGCCCTAAGGCAACTCCTCTCACGGTGCCTTCTATAGCTTCTAGCCTTCCCACCTCCACTATCAGCCATGTCGATGCAAGGGATATAGTTATGCTTGCTTCTTGTCTTACACAATTCCCAGCTGTAATGTTCTTTTGGATCAAACAATGCTCCCAATTTCTTGTTTTTCCTCCCGGCCCCACCCGTATCTTCATCCTCCTCCACCTCCATCACAGCCTCCCTATCCAATTCATCCTCCCCATTTCCATTTTCTCCTGCTTGTTCTTCTTCTTCTACTACTACTTCTTCTCTTGGCGTGGCTTCAGATCCCTGGCCAGATTCTTTATCCTTCTCTCCCTCAACCTCTTTGGGCACCTCCAAGATCCCTCCTTTCCCTTCACCATCACTTCCATTTTTACGCCCATCATCCAATTTCAACTCCTTCAAGCCAGATTCCGACTTCTCCACTCTTTTGTCTTCCCTCTTCTCAGCCTCAAAACCAGTAGCTGCTTTCTTCCTGTTCCCAGAAATGGGTTCTGCAAAGATTTCTCTTTGTGAGGTGACAGAGTAAGAAGAAGGCGAAAAGGCAGACCAAATCACTACGAAGCAAAGACCCAGAATTACTACTGCGGTTAACTTCAAGCGGAACCCATAGGTCTGATATGTACGCTTCACTTGGCGACCAAATCTTGACATTGCCATCTCCCACCCCCGAATAAAAAATGTCTGAGCAGAAGAGATGAGAAAGCCAAACATAGTACTCACTACTCGGTAGATGGATGACGGATGAGTTTCAACTGAAGAAAGTGAAAAGTTAAAGGATAAAAGGTGGTGTTTAAATCTACCTAGAAGGCCACAAGAATCGAGCTTTTTTCCAAGAATCAAAAGTTAAGGTAGCAAGATTTGAGCTGGGTTAGAGCATCTGCAACTTGTTTAAAGGTATTTTTGCCAATTATTGTCATCTACAACCTTCTTTTGGTGTAATTTTGCTCACATATGTTGGTTTCACTATTATTTTACACTGTTTACAACAATTTTGCTCACAAGAATGAGTTTTTTTTGTGTTGGGGGTGTTATTACTTTGAAAAAAATGGAATACACAAGAGTGATAACAGCAATGGATATTAAAGTGAGAATACACTGCTGGTCTATTTATTATGTTTGCATTCAAATATCTTTAAAAATTTAGAATTTATCTGCGTATCTGAAATAATGGAGAATTAGTAAGACTAACCGCATGAACTGCCCATGAACACCGGTCGTCAACGCATACAACGTGCAACGTTGTCCTATTTGACCTCTTTGTCTTGTATTGAAAACTATTCGACACCGCATACATTTGGAGATGGTGGCATAGTTCTTTCTTTGACTTGTAAATGCTATCAACTTGAATAGTGGTTGGGTAATAATGTGAAATAACGTCCACTGAATTTGTCGGAAGTCTCCTACGTTTGCATCGGTTGGTTCGTTTCATATTGTCATTGAGGGTACGAGATCCTTTAGAAGATAGAGTAGCAGCATGAGACGGGTAGGGGTTTGAATATATGGATGTTTTGTATTATACGAATTCCCAACTATCGCAACGTTATTATGTAACTCAGGATCTCCATGAAAGTCGTTATTGTTTGAGGGATCAGAAGTTCCATTGGGGATTTCATTTGGCATGCACTTTGAGTTGCTTTGCCCCATTAGGTTGGGAGTGCACGCCACCATATGTGAAGTGCTACACATGTTACTCACTGAAACAGGAGCTGAAGAGGAATTGGGTAGAGCACTCGGATGACTAATTGTGGCAGTAGGTAAAACCTCGATGCGTAATGGCAGATATGACATCTCGTTTTGGTAGGACTTTAACTTCATATATATAAGAGTAGTTCAGCATTGTTATACCCGGGCCTAGCCCTATCATACCCTACCCCATGTCCTACATCCTCGCAAAAACCAAAGGACTTACGTTCAAACATTATGATCCGTTTTAGTGAGGATTCCAGGTCCTTCAACCTGAGAGGCCTGAATAACATTGGACCCAAGGTTTCCGCAGCCCAAATCTCACTCCGTCCAACCCAACCCTATGTTGGGAAACGAGGCTTGGATGACGCAGCGGAAAACAAAAATCTAGAGTCCAAAACTCGATTCCACCCAAGAACAACTTACGTAAATTACTAGCTATAGTAAGAAATTTACCTTAACGGTGAAAAACGAAGAACAAAGAAACGGTCGGGGATGGTTTTGAGGAGATGAACGTAGCGCCAAACGTATGAAGCCTCCAATGTATCCACACGAACTTGCTCCGGAGTCCTAAATTAAACTTGTGCTAGCAAGTTTAATATAGGATAGTAAAAACTATAATATTACTACTTTAGGGAGTAATAAATATATAGTAAAAATATTTATCTTATAAATATTTCTTTATAATATTTTGTATATATTTCTAACACTTTAGAAAGAATATTTTTTAACACAAAATAGAATCTTTCTACCCTCTAACTTATGATGGCCGAATGTTTTGTTACCAAAAAATGGGGAGGGATACATCTTATTTATAAAACACTACTTTAAAAGAATTTCTAGGAAATTTATTAGGGACAAAAACAAATAAAGATTAGTGCAATGTCTCCAACCAACACAACAAGACAAATATTCTTTTGTTAATCAAATATTTGATTATATCAATCAAATATATCATTAGGTAGAAAATCAAATTGTGTCTTGTACATTTCCCTTTTGAAATTTCGGCCATCTCATATTAAAATGCATTACATTTTATTTTGACATCAATAACTATCATATAATTAAAATGATGAAAATAAAAAATTATATATATATATATAATAAAATTTGTTTTGTCAAAATATAATTATCATATAATTAAAATGACACAAACAAAATATAATTTTAAAATACATACCGAAATACACACACACACACACACATATATATAATTATCACAACTATATATTTAATATTACTCCACTAGTGTAGTATACTACTCCCTTTCAAGTCCTAAGTGTGTGACCCTTTAGGTATCCATAACACTGGTAATGATATTAATATAAATTAATACCATAGATAATAAGCGGCAACTATATATTTAATATTACTCCCACTAGTGTAGTATACTACTCCCTTACAAGTCCTAAGTGTGTGACCCTTCAGGTATCCACAACACTAGTAATGATATTAATATAAATTAATACCATGGATAATAAGCGGTATCTAGCAACACATTATTACCCCCAGATTATGAAAAAGATGTTCATCTCATCAATACATTCTACGACACAAGACGTTCTATAACTATTATCCTTCTGTCCTAAATGTCATGATTTAACACAAGGCATGAGATGTGTATCCTTGTATAGTTAAATCAGCTGTTACTGAATCTCAAGTAGACTGGCAGGGATCAGATATTTATCAGTCTATGGATAGCGACATATCTGGGCATGACCATGCACTTTCCCAAGTCCTACTATTCAGTGGGCCCATTGACATTATACTTCTATACAGTAGAGGGGACAGATCCTGTATCTGTTATTCACATCTCTAAATATGCTTAGCGGCATACTCAACGCATAACTGTACGTCTACCAGTATTTCAAATAGCATTAGTTATGAATCAAAGCATACGGCCCCACATATCAGAGAATGTAATAACTTCAAGTCTGAGGATAGTTATAGCGAGGTCGATTTGAGAATACTGATAAACACAATATTATCGATATAATATGCACCTACGTACAGATTAAGATATCACAATACCTATAGTCTATGAGACACAACTATCTCATCTCGTACGTACTAGTCTTGATACATTATGACGTCCGTATTATCATAAAGTGTGACTAGGGATATTCTAGACATAGCCTTCTGTAGGATCGTTTTCTAGAACTTCCCAGTGGGTCACCCATCCTGGGACTACTCCCGTTCCAGCACGCTTAACTACAGAGTTCTGAAGTTAAAGAGGTGCCAAATGCTTTCTAAAACCAATTGGTGATAGGGAAGAGGACACTTTGTATTTAACCACATCTCTCGGTAGCCCCAAGCCAAGGTAGATTCCTTTAGGGCACCCCATATAGTTCACTACGGCAGTGCAGAGCCCCACTACTGAGCGGTGGATGAATAGGAGGGGCTTCGCAAGATACACAACTCATGTACCTCGTCAGGTTGGGCTGTCAATACCCGATACCGTGACAAGCACAGTAGCGAATCCCTAAGGGTGATCGATGGTCCCCCATAAGACCAACACCTTCGTCAAGAAGTAACAGTCTCATAATCAGAACATCGTAGTCCTCATCTATGTTACTGAAGCGCTATCGTTTATGGACTGAAGCTATGTTATGTTACACGAGATATAAAACATACTTCAAGGCCTTTCATTCACGATAAAGTGTACAGTTACATAGGTATTTGATTGTCACTAGGGCACCTAAATACAACACCCTAAACATCCAAAACTCCTTGCCATTTAATTCATTTCCAACTAAAGTTTTTCCTACTCTCAATTTTAGCCCTGGCCAAAATTTAGAGTGTGTAAAATAAAAAAACCTTTTGCTTGTTGGTAGTTTCCTTCTTTTAAGCCTTTTATTAAACAACTAAAACCCTCCCTTTATTCTATTCACCCCTGTCCAAAATACACTTCACAATCCCAACATAAACACCCACAAAGAGCCAAAAACCATGACCCACCACCAGCCATATTTCATGCCCATGTTCCCACACAAATAACCAAAGCCATAAGTCCACAACACCCATGATATTCCCCATCCATGCCCCCTTTAATGACCAAAAACAACCACTATAAACCCAAAACTCAAAACCCCACAACCCCAACCCATTCCTGATTTTATCCCACTAAGGAGACAGGTTTGAATGAAGAATGCCCCATGCTTTGAAGTGGATGTTGCTAAGAAGCTTCCTCATGTTCACATTCAATATATAGTGTGTGTTATCCCCCTTCCCCCTGCCTATATAATCAGGCCATATGACCATTGTAAAACCAATCTTTTGAATATTAAAACCTTTTACTCTTTGAGTATTATTAAAATAGTGTGATGTTATTTTAGCTAAATTCCTAATTCTATATCTTAAGAGTGGTTATCTTAAGTGTGAGTTTTAAGTTCTAGATATTTGATTAAGTGTGTCATATTTTAATTAAATTCTAGATTCAAACCCCAAGTTAGGATAAGAGTGTGTAATATCTCTTAAACACCAACTTGGTTTATCCATCCTTGGTTTGCTTCCATTTCATATCCCCCCCCCCCCATTTCTCTTCTTAACCTTACTCTTTTCTTCCATTAAAATACCCAAAAGAACTCTTTCATCATCCCCATATATCTCCAGCCATCTCCCACACAAACATCCTCCTTCCTGCCCACATTTCTACCTGATAGTCGAATATCATTTCACAACAATCGACTATCGCTGCCCCAGAAATCCTGCAGTCACCAACAGTCGATTGTCACCTTTCTATTAGTCGACTACCTCACCCTTCAGGACTTTCTTAGCGTCTTCTGCAAAGCCCAATAATCGAGTATCAACTATTGATAGCCGACTATCTGGTCCCTCTGAATTCTCTTTGCCTAAACCAAACAACCAATAATCGAATATCACAATTGTGACAATGGACTATCTGGCATTCCTGAAGTTTAAAGGCTGTTCTATTTTGCTACCAATTCCTCCGTAATCCCGCCCTCAAATTATCTACATGTTAAGAGCCCGGGTTCGGGTATAACATCTGCTCGATAGTCGATTGTCACAATTTGAGGGCGGAATTACAGAGGAATGCCAGATAATTTGAGTGTAGATAGTCGATTGTCACAATCTGCTCGATGTGATACCCAAACTCGGGGTCTTAACATGTAGATAATTTGAGGGCGGGATTACGGAGGAATTGGTAGCAAAATAGAACAGCCTTTAAACTTCAGGAGTTCCAGATAGTCGATTGTCACAATTGTGATATTCGATTATTGGTTGTTTGGTTTAGGCGAAGAGAATTCAGAGGGACCAGATAGTCGACTATCAATAGTTGATACTCGATTATTGGGCTTTGCAGCAGACGCCGAGAAAGTCCTGAAGGGTGAGGTAGTTGACTAACAGAAAGGTGACAATCGACTGTTGGTGACTGCAAGACTTCTGGGGGGCAGCGATAGTCGATTGTTGTGAAATGATATTCGACTATCAGGCAGAAATGTGGGCAGGAAGGATGATGTTTGTGTGGGAGATGGCTGGACATATATGGGGAAGATGAAAGAGTTCTTTTGGGTATTTTAATGGAAGAAAAGAGTAAGGTTAAGAAGAGAAATGGGGGGATATGAAATGGAAGAAAACCAAGGATGGATAAACCAAGTTGGTGTTTAAGAGATATTACACACTCTTATCCTAACTTGGGGTTTGAATCTAGAATTTAATTAAAATATGACACACTTAATCAAATATCTAGAACTTAAAACTCACACTTAAGATAACCACTCTTAAGATATAGAATTAGGAATTTAGCTAAAATAGCATCACACTATTTTAATAATACTCAAAGAGTAAAAGGTTTTAATATTCAAAAGATTGGTTTTACAATGGCCATATGGCCTGATTATATAGGCAGGAGGAAGGGGGATAACACACACTATACATTGAATGTGAACATGAGGAAGCTTCTTAGCAACATCCACTTCAAAGCATGGGGCATTCTTCATTCAAACCTGTCTCCTTAGTGGGATAAAATCAGGAATGGGTTGGGGTTGTGGGGTTTTGAGGTTTGGGTTTATAGTGGTTTTTTTTGGTCATTAAAGGGGGCATGGATGGGGAATATCATGGGTGTTGTGGACCTATGGCTTTGGGTATTTGTGTGGGAACATGGGCAGGAAATATGGCTGGTGGTGGGTCATGGTTTTTGGCTCTTTGTGGGTGTTTATGTTGGGATTGTGAAGTGTATTTTGGCCAGGAGTGAATAGAATAAAGGAAGGGTTTTAGTTGTTTAATAAAAGGCTTAAAAGAAGGAAAATACCAACAAGAAAAAGGTTTTTTTATTTTACAAACTCTAATTTTTGGCCAGGGCTAAAATGAGAGTAGGAAAAACTTTATTTGGAAATGAATTAAATGGAAAGGAGTTTTGGATGTTTAGGGTTGGGTTGGACGGAGTGGGATTTAGGCTGCGGAAACCTTGGGTCCGAAGTTATTCAGGCCTCTCAGGTTGAAGGACCTGGAATCCTCACTAAAACGGATCATAATGTTTGAACGTAAGTCCTTTGGTTTTTGCGAGGATGTAGGACATGGGGTAGGGTATGATAGGGCCAGGCCCGGGTATAACAAGCATCATCCGCAATAACGGTAGGCGGTGGACACAAGGAGAAACCAATCCATCCGAATGTCTGCTTTAACAGTGTCCATGAGCAATTTTAGAGAGCATTCATTAGGGACATCAATGACAGTGTCGTACTTCGAAGTGAAATTTCCAAGAGTATCCCACGTTCTATCACACGCACTAATACCTTAATATTTGAATCCATGTTTGCAGAGCCTTGAACAGAGAAAATGATATGGTCAGATAGGTTGAGAAAATGTTGAGTTAAATGATTAAGTAATTTTTTTTATTTTGGAAAAAAATCAAAGTGAATAACTACTTAAGCTTGTATTATTTAACATATTCCTTCAAGTGCCATAAGAAGAATGCAAGTGGAGATGAAAACATTTTACCTTGAAACTGCTTATTTTTGAGATGCAAAAAAAAAGTACAGCTAACATTAGCAATTCTATCCATTAGCCTTGTAGATCAAGATGTCATTAGAATATACCAAAATTCATTAAAATTGAAAATCACTAATTTTGAATGGCATTGCTAAGTAACATGAATCAGTACTCTTGTTGTGCAAAAATCAGTTTTTTTATGCAACACTACTTAATTAGAGTGGCTCAATTGTTAATGGACAAAAATAGAAGTGGTATGGAACAAAAACAGAAATTTTTTCAATGAACCTAACATTGGTGAATAAGAACAACGCAGTACCTAATCACGGAGTTGAATACACACACTAGACATTGAACGTCAAAAAAAGTCTCAGAAAATCAAAATTAGGGAGAGATTGAAAAGAAAATTACACAAGAAAGGAATAGATGGAAGAAAATGGGACAGAGATGTGATATAGACTGAACCTGAAACCAGGTGTGAGTGTCCCGGTTGAGACAGTGGGCGACGAAAGCTTCCGGCGAATCTCTGCAGAAATTAATTGGAATGATGCAATTCTCTTTGGAATTGGATTGTAGAACCTGAACCCTAGAGTATGTCTGGTAATGCATCCGTCGAAGACGATGCCTGCGGGTCTCCGGTTTTGGAGGTGGCGGAATGATGTTCATGATTGTTTGTTCAGCACCGTAATAGGAGAAGAGGTTGTAATGGATGATGATTAACTCCCTCCTCAATTTACGCAGGTGAAGGAGAAATGTGCGAAAGTTCACTCCCTCCTCAATTTCCGTAGGTGGCGGATAAACCCAATTCCAAAGGGTAAATTGGGGATATTAAGAATGAGTAGCACGATGGAGGTGCTATAAAAGTGGAAAATGGGATGAGAGGGCTATATGTGTATTTTGTATTACTTAATGGTGCTATATTGGATGATTTCTATAATTTGTTCACCGTACATCATACTTCCTCCGTCCTAAAATATTTGTCACATTTACTTTTTCAACAGTCACATGAATTTTGTTTATTTATATGTTTTCATTGATTATTTGATAAAATAAAATATTTTTGACACCTTTTATTTCGAATTTTTTTCATGTAGTTTTTTAATATGTAAATTTTATTCTTTATTTCTATACTAATATTTAAATAAAATAAATTTAAAAAACTTAATAGTTTACCTCATTTTTGGAAATGTGTTAATCATATAGAGACGGAAGGAGTGCTATTTTTTGTTATGCTACTCCCCCGTCCTAAACCTATCTTCCCGTTTGTGTTTACGAGGTTTGACTGACTTTATTTTCAAATCAACTTCTTTGATTGTAGGTGCAAAATTAAAANGGAGGTAGTAATTAATATTGCCTTTATACATGAGAACATCAATGGATGTTAATTGATAAACGGACACTTTAGACATTTCATCTAACCTGTTCTTGAGCCTTGAAAACAGATGATCAGCGTGAAGAAGGTCATATGATCTAGGGTAGGTTCCAAAGGACTCACACCAGTCATGGTAAATGCCAAGAAGACCACGTTCATATATTATTGGAAGGGTATCTCGGGCATGTAGGGGCGGGACCACATTCATTACCCAAACGTCCTTCCGCCGCCCAAGAGCAGCTGCAAATCTGCACAAACCCCAAGTTATTCAGTCAGTAATTGCTCAACGGAAGAACAGAAAAAAAAATATTTGTTGGGATAAAGTTACCCTCCATTGACTGCTTTCATGTCCATTACATTCCTTATGTTAGACCAGTCAATTCCAAAGCCAACAAGGTAAGATTTGTCTATTATATCTTTCCAGTGATTATCGTCTGCAATCATCTTTTCTCTATCATTACTCATCCAGTCTGGAAATGTTTCAAGCCTCTTTGGCCATTCCTCAGGCCACTCTGTCCCTCGTTCTTCAATTGCCGATGGAATCTCATGCAAGCAAATTCTGATGGGGGTGTTCCTGGAATTAAAAAAAGAATCACGATGAAAAAGTGTGTATAGATTTTAAGCTGGGAAATGTTTTGGAACCCCTCCCGTTCATCTTACCAGGCAGCATCTGGATTGTCTTTGGCATTGCATAAAGGGGGGACCTTTTTCCTTCTCAGTTTATATATATCATTCGATTCAGGCTTTTGATATATTTTAATTCCTATATCACTGACATCATCAGTTTTGTCAGCCAGGATGTTCCAACAGATAGATGCTGTAAGGGTGGACATAGCTGGAAAACAAGAAGAAAAGTGCAGAGGAATAAGATCACTGAATAATCCAACTATGACGAAATCATAGAGGTGAATGTCAAGGGATTTAGCAATCTGTCAAGTTTAAGTTGCACTAAAAAATAGATTATAAAGTAATACTCATAAATCCATGAAGGACTAATATGTAGACATGCCATGGGCCTGTTCGGTAATGTTTGGCTAAAGTGACACATTTACAGAAGAATTTTCGGAAATAATGTCCAGTAACATTTATTTCGGCCAAATAAGTCAAAAGCTATGTGTTCTGCTTTTAAGAAGGGTGATACAATTATGGCAACCAAACGGAGAGCATGTGTAAATTGCAAATCCACCAACCACTTGTTTATGTACTTAGGCATACTCTCATAAAGGGTTAAGGGACAAAAAAAATACAGAGAATGGATAAAGGTCAAACCTTCTTCAGCCTCGACACTATTGTGCTTAGTTGATAAAATAAAATACCCTCCCGGTCTCAAGATTCTGTTCACCTCAAGAAGTAGTTTGCCTCCTGAATGGGACGGAAAGAATGGTTAAAGAAAGCTCTAGTTTTAATCTTAACAAAAAGACAATGTGGGCAAGCAAAAGGGGATCAAGAGCAATTACAATACCATTAGAATGCCACGACATGTGGCATTCACCGCAATGAATTGTGTCAAAAACGCCACTAGGGAAAGGAAGTCTGCGGGTCTCAAATGGGCTAACTAGTGCAGGGAAACCACATTCAAGGGCAACTTGTGCGAGGTCAAAAGGGTCATCTTTCAATCCCAAAGTAAGCACTAATACATCCTTCTCAATTAGAGAAGCGACAAAACTTGAATCTTTGAATCCAATATCCAGCACTACACGGATGTTCTTTCCCCATTCGATGTCAGGTACCATCTATCGATAGTTAAAACAACAAACAGTCACATTAGGGCAAAATCCTTACGTCTTTATTTTGTCATCCTCATATGTACAACATTTTTTAAGATTTTGTCAGATTGTTTAAAATCCACGGATTATGTCAATTCATTATTTTTTAAAATTCTACAAAAATTAGATTTGTTTGATAAATTGTTCTAAAACCATTAATTATTTATCAAATAAAAAAATTAGATTATATAATAAGATTAAAAAAACTATACCTTCAAAACTGAAGAAAAGTGGAAGAACAAAATACTGGTGCAACTGTGGAAACGAGAAGCCAAAAATATTGGATGAAGTTAAAAAATACTCTGTAAAACTATTATAATTTGATTTACACAAATAAAATACTCCATACCATACAATATTTTGATTTCTTGGGAAAAAATACAGTAGATTCAAAGCACAAAAAAGCACGTTGGTGAAACACACCAGATTCAAAAAAAACAGCAGATTAAAAAATACGACAAATCCTTTGTAATAGAGAAGATCCTGTGGTAAACACAAGACAATGATCAAATCAATCTTCTTCTCAAATCTCACTCTTTCTTCTCTCAAAATATCTTCCCCTTCTCCCCAAAATATCTCTCATTTCTGTTATCTTCCATTGGAGAATTCTTACAGCTAACAGTCGTATCAAAGCTTCGAGCCTTCGACAACTGGATAGCTTCCGATTTGCCTGATTTAAGGATTGAATCATTGTTAGATAGCCATGGAGGCTCAATTGGAGGCTATTGAAGGGAGATTCATTGGCGTTGATGAGAGAATCAATGCTCAGGAGTGAAAAATGGATGCAAGAATGGAAGCTAAAATAGGAAAAGAGGAGTACCACACCTCTACCAGTTGAGGCGATGGAGGCATTTCACACTCACGAGCACTCAGTTCCCTAAATACGATGGCAGCAACACACGGATGTGGATTAAGAAAGCCTGTAAGTACTTCGCCCTTCGTAAAATTTCTGATGAACAATGGGTAGACATTGGTAGCTTACATATGGTGGAGAAGGCTGAGAATTGGGTTACTAGCTACATGTCTTTTAGGAAGTATGTTGCTTGGCATGAATTCATAATTGATCTGTGAGTGCTAGATTTAGAGATGAAACGGGACATAATGTTGTAGAACAGTTTAAGAGGCTATAACAGAAAGGATCATTTGAAGTTTACATTGATGAATTTGAGGATCTAAGGTCTGTGTTGAATCAGAATAGCCATTACCTTCCTGATTCTTTCATTCTGGATTCTTTTATTGGTGGATTGAAGCCTTCTGTTAAACTGTGCATCAAGGCATTTAAGCCTAGTGGCATAGCCCAAGCAATTGAATATACTAGGTTAAAGGAGAGTCATTGGAAGTGGAGAGTCAAGTTTTTCCAAATTCAATCACTCCTATAACCACAAACCTTTTGGGGAAGGAGTCAAGGCCTTCACAAACAACTTATCAAAACCTGCTCAGTTGCGCACTCTTCAAGTTAAATCTGCCAGCTTCCAAAAATGTACCCCTACCACCCACTCTGGCCCTAACAAAAACTTTAAACATATATCTGCTGATGTGAGGGCTGAAAAGATAGCCAAGGGGTTGTGCTACTACTATAACAAACCCTTTGAGAGGGGGCACAAGTGCAGTTTTAAAGAACAACAGTCGTTCACAGTTGAAGTTCCTGCCGAAGGAACTTATCACAATGAGCATGAGGAATGCATAACTGACTACGCGGAAGATCATTATGATGCAAGTGAGAAGAGAGAGAGAGAGTTCTGATGCTTGCATTTCTGTACAAGCTCTAACTGGAGGGCATAGATACCAGACAATGAGGATAATGGGGATGGTTGGCAAGAGGCCCATCCACATATTGGTTGACTCAGGAAGTATTCATAATTTCCTGAATTTTGACACTGCAATAAGTTTGGGATGTCAGCTGGAGAAAGTACATACCCAGGCAATGACAGTGGCAGATGGAAACAGAACCCCTTGTCAATATGCTTGTGATAAATTTACATGGAAGAGGTAAAAAGAGAATTTACCACAGATGTCTTATCGATTCCACTACGCAGTTGTGACATGGTTTTAGCAATCCAATAACTGGAAACATTGGGACCAGTCTGTTAGGATTTCAAGGAAATGACCATGAAATTTGATTTGAAGGGTGGCTCATTCTTGTTGAAGGATATGGTAAAAAAGAGATTGAAAGTGGTAGAAGAGACTCCATCTCCAAAGGTGTTTAATAATTCTATTAAGTTTTGCCTATGCGAGTATTCACATGGGGAAGAGGACAAATGTCCCTAGCATGATACAATGTGGAGAAACTACAGGGAAGGTTGGTCTAGATATGGAATTGGAAGAATTGAAGAGGGACTTCAGTATGGTCTTTGAAGATCCCACAGATGAGTCTTTGATCACAGGATCTCTTTGGAACTAGGGGCAAGACCTGTCAATATCAGACCTTACAGGTACCCTTTCAAACAAAGAGATACCATTGAACAACTCGTGCGAGAGATGTTGCACAGAAGAATTATTCAGCATAGTGCTAGTCCTTTTGCTTAGAAGTATCCTTTAAACAAAAAGATACCATTGAACAGCTGGTGCAAAAGATGTTGGGCAGAGGAATTATTCAGCATAGTGCTAGTCCTTTTGCTTCCCCGGTGGTACTAGTGGGAAAGAAGGATGGTACATGAAGGTTGTGTATAGATTATAGAGAGTTAAACAGTAAAACTATTAAGAAAGATTTCCTATTCCAACACACACACACACAGGGTACTTTGAGTTCTTAGTAATGCCCTTAAACCCTTGCTCAGGAAATCAGATGTAGTCTTCTTTAATGACATACTTGCCTATAGTAAAACCAAGGAAGAACACTAGGATCATCTAAGACAAGTCTTTGGACGGATGAAACCGAACTAGATGTATGCTAAACTCGGCAAATGTATATTTGCAAGTGACAAGGTGGAGTACCTAGAGCATTTAATTTCTGCAACTTTCTTCCCCTTCTCAAATCTCACTCTTTCTTCTCTCAAAATATCTTCCCCTTCTCCCCAAAATACCTCTCATTTATGATATCTTCCAATGGAGAATTCTTACAGCTTTTTCAAGCTGTAACATAAATGTTTTTGTGTGAGTGTGTGTGTGTGTGTCATCAATCCAAAACTTACTTCCTGAATGGACACAAGATAGTGCTGAACTCTGTCTTCCAAAGCAGAACGGTTCTGGGGGAAAATGAGATATTCCCCAGACTCCATAACCCAACTCTTTGTCTTAACCAAATCGGCTAGTTTCTCGTGTGCTACATTCTTGTATATTATCTACAAAGGAAAGGAACAAAATAAAACAATGTGAATATGTAAAGCCCAATATAGAATATATATTTTTTTAAAAAAACAAAGCTATATTACAGTTTTTTTATTTTTTTTAAAAAATGTATACCTTGGACATGCTTTCTGGCCAGCCTATAGGAGTCTTGTAACCATCTGGGGGGAGTGGAACAAGGCACATTTGATGTGCTGCTGCCCTAAGGCAACTCCTCTCACGGTGCCTTTTATAACTTCTCGCCTTCCCACCTCCACTCTCAGCCATGTCAATGCAAGGGATATAGTTATGCTTGCTTCTTGTCTTACACAATTCCCAGCTGTATTGTTCTTTTGGATCAAACAATGCTCCCAATTTCTTGTTTTTCCTCCCGGCCCCACCCGTATCTTCATCCTCCTCCACCTCCATCACAGCCTCCCTATCCAATTCATCCTCCCCATTTCCATTTTCTCCTGCTTGTTCTTCTTCTTCTACTACTTCTTCTCTTGGCGTGGCTTCAGATCCCTGGCCAGATTCTTTATCCTTCTCTCCCTCAACCTCTTTGGGCACCTCCAAGATCCCTCCTTTCCCTTCCCCATCACTTCCATTTTTACGCCCATCATCCAATTTCAACTCCTTCAAGCCAGATTCCGACTTCTCCACTCTTTTGTCTTCCCTCTTCTCAGCCTCAAAACCAGTAGCTGCTTTCTTCCTGTTCCCAGAAATGGGTTCTGCAAAGATTTCTCTTTGTGAGGTGACAGAGTAAGAAGAAGGCGAAAAGGCAGACCAAATCACTACGAAGCAAAGACCCAGAATTACTACTGCGGTTAACTTCAAGCGGAACCCATAGGTCTGATATGTACGCTTCACTTGGCGACCAAATCTTGAAATTGCCATCTCCCACCCCCGAATAAAAAATGTCTGAGCAGAAGAGATGAGAAAGCCAAACATAGTACTCACTACTCGGTAGATGGATGACGGATGAGTTTCAACTGGAGAAAGTGAAAAGTTAAAGGATAAAAGGTGGTGTTTAAATCTACCTAGAAGGCCACAAGAATCGAGCTTTTTCTCCAAGAATCAAAAGTTTAGGCAGTAAGATTTGAGCTGGGTTAGAGCAACTGCAACTTGTTCAACATGACTTGTTAAAGGTATTTTTTGCAAATTATTGTCTATCTCCAACCTTCTTTTCATGTAATTTTGCTCACATATGTTGGTTTCACTATTATTTTACACTATATACAACAATTTTTATATTCTACTCCCTCCGTCCTATATCTTTCTTCCCGTTGCGCAAAACGAAGAAAAATCCCAAGTTTTTTTAATCTATTTTATTTAAATATTGGTATAAAAATAAAAAATAAAACATACATATTTATTAAAGTCTTAAAGCAGTGAAGAGTGGCATGACAGTTTCAAGTGCTACGTACAAGGAATGAAAATAACCTATTAAAATTATGGGTCTCAATAAATATGGTAAATGAAATAATTAAAATACTGCATTATAATAAAAAGGGCATTGGAAGAGATCAACGTCATAAATAGCCAAATGTATGAAAAACAATGAGTGCTATATGTGCAATATTGGATGTCTTAGAGGGCTACATAGGATGATTTCTAATTTTAAAAAAATTAAATATTATAAAAAAAATTATTTCAAAACTATATTTTAAAATAATTCCAATTTTATTAAATTTACATTATAACTAAATATAATTTTTTCATAATTTGTGGTTAAAGGTGTCATACTTTGACCAAAATAGTCTAATTGTGACAATGTTTTAGGGACGGATGAGTAGGAAGTATAATTTATTCATCGTACATCATACTTCCTCCGTCCCAAAGTATTTTCCATATTTGTTTTTTCAACAGTCACGTGAATTTTTGTTTATTTGTATATTTTCATTTAATATTTGATAAAATAAAATATTTTTAAAATTTTTCATTTTGAAGATTTTTTCATATAGTTTTTAAATAATTAAATTTTATTTTTTATTTCTATACAAATTTTAAATAAAATAAATTTAAAAACTTGATAATTACCTCATTTTTAAAAATGTACTCCCTCCGTCCCAAATTATAATGCCTGTTTACTATTCACAGGGTCAAACTTCATTCACTTTCTTTCTCTATTTTCATTAGCAAATTGATAAAATAAAATATTGTTGTCACCACTAGTTTTGTAGATCTTTTGATGTAGTATTTTGATATGTAATTTTTATTTTTTAATTCTATACCATTTGTCATATAAAATGATTTGAAAATAACTTCAGTCAAACATCGTAAATCGAAACAGGCGTTATAAAATGGGACGGAGGTAGGATTAATCATTTAGAAACCGTAGGAGTATTATTTTTTCTTGGGTTTTTCTTCGGTACCCTTGAAAATCAATGGGC